CTCGGGGACGCGTTTCCGACCGGGCAGGGTTGAGCAACGCAACGCGACGCGCCGGCTCTGGGCGGGGCTGGTGCCCGGTGCTGAGGGTGACAGAGGCGCTGAGAAGAGGAGCCGGGGCCTCGCCGGGTAAGGGGGCCGGGGCTCGGCTGCTCTGCGGGGGGTCCGGTGTGCGGTCACCCTTGTGGGCTCATTCATCTGCATCGCCTTGGGGCCTGGGAGAGAAACGCCGCAGAGCAGCGGCCGGTGCCGGACCCCTCCCTTGGTGAGGCCCCGGGCAGGGAGGCCTGAGCGCGCTGGTCCCTGCGCTGCCGGAGCTGGCAGAGTCCGCACAGGGTGTCTGGTCCTGCTCTAGCGCAGAGGTTCTCAACCTGTCCGGGCTGCTGTGCCCCTTTCGGAGTCAGATTTGTCTTGTGACCCAAGTCCCCCTCCCCCCCCTTCAAGTTTCACCTGACTGAGACTCTTACAGAATCAGACACAGAAATACGGAGTGTCTCCGCACCACGTCATTGAACAGGTGCTTGGTTTCTTCTGTCTGTATGGCGCTTACTGATGTGCTAGTGCTTTTGCTAGCCTGTTGTAAAATTAGGGATATAGCTATATGAGCTGATGTACCCCATGGTCGATCTCTATGTATTCCTGTGGATACACGCACCCCTAGTTGAAAACAACTGCTCTATAGCATGTTGACAGCTGTTACCCGAGGGGGTGGCTTTTTATTGGCCCAGTTTCTGCTGGTGAGGGAGACAAGTTTTGCCATTATACCGATCTCTTTTTCTCTTTAAGCTAGAAAACTTGTCTCTTTTACCAACAGGATTTCAGCTAATAAAAGATATTGCCGCATCTACCTTGTGTCTAACATTCTGGGACTGGCACAGCTGAAACAACTCTCTGCATACCCAAGTGAACAGTGCAGATCTGTTCTGAAAAGATGTGCTCAATGTGCAGTGGCAGTTAAAAAAGCTAACATTAGGAAAGGAATAGTAAGTATAAAATCTGAAAATGCTTCCATATAAATCCCTGGTACTTCAGCACCTTTGTGTGCAATTCTGATTGCTACATATAAAAAAAATGCTAGCATTGGAAAAGATGCTGAAAAGGGCAGCAACTATTATTGGGTGTAAGGAACTGCTTCTATGAGAAAAAAGATTTAAAAAGACTTACACTATTCAGCTTAGAAAATAGTTTATTAAGGGAGGATACAATAGAGGTCTCTAAAATCACAAATGGTGTGGAGAAAGCAATGAACGTGTCATTTTCCCTTTAACACAACACAAGGACTAGGGTTCACTCAATGAAATTAATAGGGAGCAGGTTTAAAACAAAAGAAAGTACTTCTTCACACCATGCAGAGTCAATTTGTGGGACTCATTGCTGTGGATGTTGTGAAGACCAAAAATGTAATGGGGTTCAAAACATAATTAAATAGGTTCATTGGCGACTATTAACAAAGGTGGTCAGAAGCAAATCCCAATAGTCCAGATATCCATAAATTTCCATCTGCCAGAAGCTGGAACCATGCGGCAGGGGATGGCTCATTTGAAATTGCCCTGTTTTGTAAATTCCCTCTGAAACATCTAGCACTGGTCACTGTCACGTTGAGCTACATAAGGATGGTCAAATAGTAGGCATCACAGAAATTTAGTAAAAGTGCTAATCAGTGGGACACAGTAATATCAGAGTACAAAATGTATAGGAATGACAGACTAGGTTGTGCCAGTGGGCAAGTAATGCTATATGTGGGGGAGGGGGGAGCAACATAGCAAAATTTTAAATGAATCGAACAATACCATAGCATTGTTATGAATAAAAATTCTATATTTTTAATAATAAGGAT